TCACGTAGCTGTGGAGCTGTCACAAAGCACAAAGTCGCCATTTTAGAGCAGACTATATATAAACTATCACCCCTGACATCCCCCCATTTACCCATGAGGGAAAACGGAAAATCCTGACACTTCAAGACTGTGGCAACGCAATCGTGGGATTTGATGAACTGTATTCACTCTGTGACAGTAATAAATGATTCCAAAACACGCCTAAGAGCCAGACAGTTCAGAAGTTTCAGATTGGTTATTATATATATAAAAAAACACAATGGTAAATTACAAAAATAATTTCAAAACCCAGTCAAAAGCCATAAAAAAAAACCAAACAAAAAAAACTTGCCCCCATGATTTAAATATGATCTTTATTTCTGCAGGACCAGAAACCTTTAAAAACAGACAAACTTTGTATGCAGACACTGGACCCCGACACAATAGCTCCCTCCGAGTTTTACAATTAGCACCTTGTATTAGTTTATTTAGCAAAACATTATGTTTTTGAGAAAGTAGAGTTAGACCGTTCCTGGAGGAACTCTGTGATAAAGGCCTTGCTACAGGGTTCAACAGGAAAAACATCTTACTGACCTTGGGACTCAAACCAATGACCTTCTGATGAGTGGCACAGCACCCTAATCCACTGAACCACACATTACAATGCCTTAGCCTGGCTGGAGAGGAAGTTGGTTTGCACATTTCCTTCACGGGGGGCAGGGGTCTCCAGAAGCCTCAATCACAAGCCATCAGAAGGAAGTACTCAAAAATGTCTTTTATAGTGATGCATCATTCACCAAAGAGTAAAAACTAGATAATAAAAAACACACATTGTAACGATTCACGAAAAACAGACTATGGACCAGACCGGTTCTAGGCGGCTTGGGGGTCACAAGAGCCAGCGGTCAGCACCTACTCAGGACCGCAAGGATCGACAAGCCCGCTTTCAAAAAGAGTTCTGTTCTCTGGCAAGCAATGAGCTGGGAAGTAGGCTGGCCCTCTGCGGACAGGAGGGTCGGACCGGGCTGCATCGGCCTCGTTCCCCGTCGGGAAGTACCCAAAATATACGCCTTAATCATGAGCGCTTGTCACCGACTGCAGGATTCCTTCTGAGCTCTGTGGAGACCTCTTCAAAAAGAAAACTGTTTACAATACTTCAGTGTGCATCTTGAGATCATGAATGTGAATTAGGAACAAATTGAAGCGGATGGAAGCACAGCTCTCAGAAGATGTTTACTCTGGTGTAAAACAAACACCATTAACTGGGTAACACCAGAGAGCACAGTCTGTCCGCTGGGGACCGTCTGAACAGCGACTCAATTACAGCGTTTAATGCTCCTGTGTGGCTCCCGCCTTTCATGTTTATTCCTTTGAGGGATTTAAATTGACACTTCACACAATGAGAATCATTAAGAGAGATAATATGGAAACATGCAGATCTGACAACATGTAGGAGAAAACAGGGACGGATCTGCCATACGTCAACATCAGAAATAAACTTTCAAAATGATTAAAGGAAAGGTCATTAGAGTGGAATAAAGTGTCTGTTTTGCATGGGTGTGTGTGGGTGTATATTGTTTACATTCTCGGTGTGTTTGTTCAAGCTCAAAATCGGCATGACCCAGGTTCAGCTGTGAAGATGGAGGCAGGGATTCCATCTTTTCAGAAGAACACAGAGTGCTTGAGGGTGGCTTCAGGGCTGGACTGTCACGTGAAAGGCACCACTGCCTTCTGTGAATACTTACACTTCTTTGCTCAATCTGCACATTTCCTGGCCAAACCAGACAGACTTATTGACTCGTTAGGTAACCGAATGCTGTATTTGATATTCGCACAAGTACAGGTACATTGGAAAGCTTCTCCTCGCTGACCCCATTTCGCTCTTCGCAGCTTGGGGGGTAAGGGCCTTACTCATGGGCCCCAAGTGACTGTTTTGCTGAGATCGGGGCTCGAACCGGTGACCTTCCAATCAGGGGCATAGCACAGCACAGGATGTGTCGCCATAACAGAAGGTAACCAGTATCGCACTGGAAATCTTCACCCTCTCGATCTCTGCAAATTTCTTCAACGGCCCTTGATCATCATATTAGCGAAAGCAGTTTTTGCATGTCATGCAAGTCGGCCACATACTGCCTTAAAATTAAGAGTCAATATTATTTCATAGCTTATCCTTAACATCGTCAGAGGAGGTGAGCTTAAAACGACAGAGTACATGTACCGATCGCAAAGGGATTCCAGCTACAGCAGTTAGCCACCCGCTAGCCATCGACCGCCCTGCTGATCAACTGCTAAGCAGTGACTACGAGTGACTTAGCAGTGACTACAAAGTGAGCGCGAATCCAAGACCAGCCGGATCCTTAGCTGCGTCACAGCTACCCGACAGGAGAGCAGAACGCAAAGCTGATCCACTCCTCCTCAAGTCGTTAAAACGGGGATCTTTGGTTTGTTAAACTGTCTTTTTTATTATTGCGGCTGTTTTTAAGGAATTTCCCCATTGTGGGATTAATAAATGTTGTGCATTAACGTGTCTGTGCAGGTTCTGACCAGCCATGCTCTCTGCCTCCCCACATGTCCGGATAGTGCCTGGGGGGGGCACCACCTGAGCTGGAGTCCCGGCTCGGTGCCAAGGAAGGATGACATTGTGGATGTGACTTACAAACTGTAACGTTGTGTGTACACCACCCTACATACCCCCCCCCGCCCCGCCCCGCCCCGTGAAGAGATATGCGTCTGACTGAGTGATTTCTGTAACGTGTGGGAACACGTAACACGGCCGGGGGGGTACGGATTTACCTCATACGCTCTGACCTTTGACTCGATGACGTGACAGATTTCCGAGAAGCCTCGTCGTAGCCGTCACCTCTGTCCGAACTCCATGTCCGTCCACATGCTCGAAAGGGAGTAAAGGAGGAGGTAAATCAGAAATCCTACCTTCTTTAAGGAATACTAAGAAAAGACCGATCCTAATTTGAAAAGTTCACAGCCAAGTTAGAATGGCTTTAGGACGGGGTGGGGGACAAACCAGTGAATCACCTGTACCCGTTACAGGAGTTATGGCGTCATCCCACCCACCACTCAAGCCCCGTTCGCCTTCATCTACAAAGTTTTAATAATCTCTGGCAATGACTCAAGTGTGAAAAATACTATAGGTCGTTTTTAAATGGACGTCAAAGCGTAGGCGATGGTAATGGTGCCATCTAGTGGACATAATAAAAATTGCAGCCATTGGGCATATTATGAGAAGACGAAAATGGTCGGCCAGACTCAATCGCCACAAAAACGAACATGCGATTGGAAATCCTGAAGACCAAAACAGGAGAGAATCTTGGAGCAAACCACCTAAGTGTCAACTCTTGGAGACCAGGGCCTGTATTCACAAAGCATTTTATTTTACCAGTAAGAGTACTCCTAAATTGCACTAAAAGTTTTTAAACTGAGTTTTTTCCTAAAACCTATTCACAAAGTGGCTGAGAGTAACTTTTAGTTAGGAAAAGATCCAACTCCTAAGCTAAGAGTAAGACTCTGTCACAGGGGGTGGGGGGTCATATTAAACTATTAACAAGAAAACATGAGAATTGTTATCAAATTACAATGGCAGCAAGGCCATACTGCGAGTTGTGCTTCGTTACTCTGCAAATTATACGACATCTTTCCAAAATTATACGTAAGATGTGATAATGTATGAATATTACCTTGGTCAAAGGCAAAATATAACATTTGCGCATTGCTTAAAGCAGTGTTCACTAGTTTGCCTCAGAGGGGCCATAATCCAAAACAGTTTACAGATTTCCCTGCTCAACACACCTACTAAACCTGTTACTTGGCTGATAACGATTGCTTGAGCTGGTAAATCTGCAAACTTTGCCAGATTCTGGTCCTCTAACGTAACTCACTATATAACATGGCTTTCATAAATACTGGTTTTCTTACTGGTACAGTTACTGGTCATGCAGGCGATTATTATTTTTGTGTAACTGCATAACTTGTGGTTTATGTGGTGTTAAATTTTACAGCCACAAATAGACTTTAAGCCTTAATCTACCCAGCAATGGATTCCTCCTAATTCTTAGGAGAACTTTTTCCTAAAAAGAACTTTTATAGTAAACATCAAGAATGAACATAACCAGCAGACGTGAGACAGTATAGCATAGAGCTAAACAACCCAATTCAACATCTTTCACTTCTGAATTGACCAAAGAACTCACTCTCTCAGAACAGGTGGCAGAGCATGAGCAAATAGTAAAGGTGGCAGAGATAACAGCGTTTGGAACGGAGTAACCGGGTGTCTGAGAAGTACTCAGGACCTCCAGACTGTGTGCTGGGATACACAGGGAAGTACAAACGTTCAGTCACTGAACTTATCTTTCTGCTGCTTAGCCAGCATATCCAGGCTGCCCCCCCCCCCCCCAAAGTAACACAGGACACCCTGCCAGAGGCTGAGGAGATACACACACAATATTATAAATTAACCTGACTGCACATTTTTGGACTGCAGGTGGAAACTGTAGCATCCAAGTGCAACACAAGGAGAATTAGTGTCTGGATGTGAGGGAACAGTACAGGTTCTCATTCAAGATAGAGTCCTGCTGAGCACCAGACAGGCATTAGAACTGCATGAATGTGGAATCTGGCTTAACTGATGCCCCAACTTTCCGGATTGTTGTCGGAATACCTTGTCAGTTGGTTCAGCAACCTATAGTGATAAAGTGATAAAGACAAACGGAAAATGCACATCTGCAACAAAAAGAACACCTTAAAAGACAGGGACTATAGTTAATTTGGATACAGCTATTAGCTTCGTATTCCCCCTGGCTGAAGAGATGCAGGACTTTATGGGGGAGGGGGGTCAGCCAGCAACTTCACTTAAAGCTGAGCACAACGCAAAGGTGTAACATAGGCAAGCAAAGACCTGGTCATGACCACTAAAACATCTTCTTAAGCTTAAACCCCTTCATTAGTGCTTATAAACTTACCAAAGTCCTGAACACCTCCTGTCACACAGAATTCAAGAGACAAAGGAAGAGTTTCCAACAAATTGTTTAATGGGCATCGTAAAGCCAGAAATCAAAGTCAACATTGATGATACAAAGAAAATAAAAAGCACAATTCCTTCTGAACGAGATCATCTTGTAAGGCAAGTCAACATAAGACCATTTAAAATGCATGCCGCAACAGTGCCGCAGCACGAAGCGACGAGCACCGACCATAGGAAGGCGTTTCAGACGAAGCAACTCAACCTTTATATACAGAATATTTACAGATCAAGGAGGTCTGTCCGTGTCCGGTAACATCTGACTTGTCGTTCTAAAGGAATGTGTTACAGGCACAGAAGCCTTATGGCAGTACGTCAGGGCCAATGACTTCAAATGGGATGCATTAAAGTCAAGATTCAGATTTGGCGTGTTTGCAAGAACGTGCTGATATTAGGCTGCTGAGCCCCACTGACATTTGGGCCAGAACTCAGATGCAGATCTGCATGGAATAAAAAAAAAATCCTTTGCAAAATACTAGTAAAAAGTGTTCAAAATGTCTTGGGTTGCTTCAAAAAGTGAAGGCCAGACAAACAGGGGGGACTGGGGGAGAGAGGTGGTCTTCTAAAGGCTCATCTTTAAACATGGCCAGTGATGATCTTGGGAACTGGGAAGATGATGTCACTCATGAGTGCCTAAGGAGAAGAACGTCATATGAAGGCATCAAAAGATGGCCACAACTGTTCTCCTGGTTTAGGAGGATACAGATTCACCACACTGGGGCAAACCAGACTGATCAGTTAATCTGATTATAGAATGGGGGAGGGCGATGCATACCATAGCTGTCATAGCTGTCGTAGTTGTCTCTGTAGGAACCCCCAGAACGGTCACTGTACCCACCCTGACTCCTGCATGGAAAATATCAGCATAAGCAAAAACAGTTGCAGACAGTGATGGGTCCATTAAAACCACTGGGCATTTACCAACCTGTTGTCTCTGTTGTAATATCCACCCCCAGAGGAATAGCTGCTGCTACCATAGCTACGATCACCACTGCCATAGCTGCGGTCACCACCATATCCACCACCACCTGGACAAATAATCTATTAATACTCAAAGCGCTTCAGTGCAAATTAAAAAAAAAAATGAAAAAAAAAATATACCACATTAAGGATAAAAGTATATGAATGTAATAAAAAAAGTAATTAAAAACCAAATAAACCCACATTACAGAAAAAACATGAATTAGATGGAATTAACATAAGGAAGGCAGTCCACGTGGTTCGCACGCACCTCTTCCTCTGCCCCCTCTGAAGAAGCCTCCGCCCCGGCCGCCAGAGGCGCCACCTCGAAATCCGCCGCCTCTTCCTCCGGGTTTGCCCGCCTCGTCGACACGAATCATTCTACCATCCACAGACTGCCCGGGGGGGAAAAAAAAGGTTTATACCTGATCGATACAAACTGCAGGTTTGGTGTTAGCGGAGAGCGGGGCGCACCTTGCCGTTCATGGCCGCCATCGCGTCCTTGGCGTCTTCGGGGTTTTCGAAGGTGACGAAGCCGAAGCCGCGTGATCGGTGCGTCTCCCGGTCTCTGATCACATCAACTAAACGGAGAAAATGCGGTTTGAGACTAAAGATACACTGGTGGGGTGGGGGAGCTAAAGGGGGCCGGAGGGCGACGGTCAGGCCCGTACCTTTGGCGATGGTCCCATACTTGGAGAAGGCCTCTTCCAAAGACTCCTCGTTGGTGTCGAAGCTGAGACCACCCACAAAAAGTTTCCCTTCGTCGGACATCTTGAGTTTCCTTTAATAAAATAAAAGCATTTTTCCATGATATTGTACAAGTTGAAACAAAGAACCGGCGCCGATTAGCTCCCGCGCTCGTGTTCGCAGACACGCGCCGAACCTGCGCCATTTTAGCGGCCGCTTAGTGGTTTTAAGAAAAGATTCCGCCATTAAACCCCCCCCATGCATGGCGGCCTGGAACAAGAGAAGATCGCCCCAAAACAACACGATACCTCGGGAACTTAGAAACGGAAAACGATCACCATTAACTCGGTACCGATGCGAAAAAAAAATATATATAGATCATCATTTACCACAATTTTTTAAACCACGAGACGGGCTATAAAGCAAATTCGCCGCCGATAAGTAACCGAATCATACATTATAAATCAGACGGCTGTGAATAAGGCAGGCACAAACAGAAAAAACAAATAATCAAACAAACACCTTTTGTTCAGCGGTGGAAATATCCGAAAGACTTGGAAGCTGCCGAAGCGCGCTACGTGGGCGAGTGCAAGAATGAATGAAAATGGACTCTGTTTTATGGGTGCGGTGCGGGCACGAGCGCCAGCCGACCAATAGCAAGCTCCGTTAGAAGGGAGGGCGTGGCTTGTGGGAGAGGCGCGATCGGCGGCGCGCTTTCTATGCGCCCAGGTAGTACTCACGTGGTCGTGGCCATCATGTGCTACATTCGCTGTTCTAATATGAAATTCGCGGGGCATCGGTCATCCATCTATCTATCAAGCTCCGGTGTTGGTGGGGGGTTGGATTGCATGTACAGCTACATACTAGATAGCAGTTCTTGACAGACTGGCCTCCAATGCGCACACACGGAGGCGGGAACGTCTTACGGGGAAAGAATAAGTGAACGTTACAGGCATGTTTAAAATACTATAAAACATTCGAGTTGTCCCGTACGTTGCTCTAGAAATAACATTTTTAAAAAATTGTATTGAATAACAAGCATGGTGAGTAATAATAGAAAATATGTTTAAAAATCATGGACAGCTGCATTGCATGCAAACGTTAAACAAAGCCTCTGGGACGTCAGGGTAAAATATGTTGAATCTAAATATATAGTAATGCTCTGGATGCAAGCTTGGAAAAAAAAAAGTTTATTTGGAAAGCTTTACATATTTCAATAATAAAACGAAGAAATTAGCCACATCGAATATTTCGTTCTGTTTCTTTGCCTTCCACCCTCCGCCACGCGGTCAAAGCTAAGCGCGAGGCATGAGCACATGGGACTCGGCTGCTGCGAGCAAGGCAAGGAGCGAATGGAGTGTAGCCAAACAGGAGTAAACCGAAATAGAGTAAAGATCAGCTGGCTAGTAAGCCACAAGCCCCAAGTTAAGCCAAAACTCATAGAATTTTTTTTTTGCAAATTGTTATGACATCTGGGTATTCACGTTATACTCAAAACTCAAGAGTTCTTTATTTTCAAATAAATACCATTTATTGCATTGAAATACCATTGTGCCCCCTTATGATGCCACAGAATACAAATACAATAAATAACATCCACAACACAATACAACTGTCCAAAACTATGTTGTGCATATGTGCATTGTACTGCAAAGGAAAACAAGCCAACAAATAGTAGGATCACTAAAGAATAGTTGGGGGCGGGGCCACAGAGGGGAGGTGGACTAGTGGGCGGAAGGGTATCGAGAAGCCGGATTGCCTAGGGGAAGCATCTGTTGCAGTGTCTGGCAGTGACTGTTCGGATGCCCCGGAACCTTCTGCCAGATGGCGGGGGGGGTGAGCATTCGGTGGTATGGCGGGAGAGGTCTGCCACCATGCTGTTTGCACGACAGATGACGTATTTCCTGTACAGCTCGGTGATGGGTGGGGTCGGATTCCCCAATGATCCAGTATCCCCAGATAGTGAAGAAAGCAGAGAGGACCATCATTATATTGAAATAAAAATTCGTCATATTGAATTCAAATTTACAAATATACAAATTTGTTGGCTACGAATGCTAACATGAATGACAACCCCCTTGTAGAGATGCAATCTCAATAACGACTGAAAAACAATTGAAAGGATAACTTTAATTCTAGCTCCATTCCTAAATATTAAATCAAACAACGGAGTCTGTAATATTCGGCACTAAAGCGCCATCTAATGGCAAATATGCCAAAAGACACTACTTCAATGTTCTTAATTATTGTTTTGAATAAATATTTTCGGACATATTGTTGTGTTTGGTTTGCATTTTAAATACATGAAAAATATAACTTTCTAAACTATTTCCAATAAAACAGAGCGTTTCTTACATGAAATGGTGAAATGGACCATACGTCTTCACGGCACGGCTCAGAACTGAACAGCAGTTTTGTCATGCAAATGAACCGACTCCTTTCTCGTCTTTTCATTCTCATGAGTGGAGAGATTTGAGGTTTCACTTACCATGACAAAACTCGAACATTCCTCAGTGATGGCACTGAAACAAAAGTAAGACCGGGAAGAGCGGGTTTGTTATGAGGGAATGACTGTTAGTGTTTGCGCAGCATGAGGATTGTTTAAACACCGTATACGTGATGGTAACACAGCCAGCCAGCTCAACTCATTGTTAGTCTTAAGTTTGTTATCTGGGCTTCTGTTTACCGCTTTGATCAACTTTTCAGTACGGATACCTGCGTTCACGTCCTGCTACTAAAAGTCAGCACTAACGTTGCACATTTGATTAGTTACGCGAGCGCCGTGTTTGTAACGCAAACTTAACTTAAACGTAACTTTCTACGCAGCGCAAACATTCCATAATTATCCGACTTTATCCGTACAGGAGATCCAGGAACATGCCAGAGCTCTTGCTCCAACGAAAAGAGAACAGATTGAAGGACAACAGTCAAGATATAAATAACAGTCACTAGGCTGCTATGAGTGCTGTCCTCCCCCTGGCCTCCCACGCGCAGCGCTCCGCTGCTCCTGCCCACATCTTTCTCTTTCCGCTGAGAGCTGTCTGGCTGATTGGCCCCTTGCTTTTGCTATTGTGAGCTGCAAGGTGACAGAGGTCACACTGGGAGCCTTTATGTCCATATCCTTATTTATTGGACACTGCAAGGGCGACAGAGAGGTCCGGGAATTATTTTAGGAAAGCAAAACGTACATGCCTTGCTACATTCGGTGCCTTTTAAATAAATAAAAGAAAAACTCATCCACAGTTATGACATTACATGCTATTATTTTGACGTTAACGCTGCTGAATATTCAGAATATATATAAAATAAAATAAAAACTAACGTTGACTTATTTTAGTTTACTAGCTTTCCAGGCCAAAGCATATACGTGGCTAAATAGTTTGTTTACTCATTTTTAGAGCTGAAATTTAGTTTACTTTTAAGCCGCCTGGTGGCTTGATGGTTAGAGAAGTGCATTTGTAATTAAAGCATTGTAGGTTCGAATCCCTGATCAGCAAGGTATTGCCCCCAAGCACTTGTCCCAGAGTGCTGAATTAGCTGCCCCCTGTTATGTCACATATGGGTTAAATGCAGAGAATACACTTCACTGTGGTGTGTCAACAATGACAATTAATCACTCGATTCTATTATAAAGTACTAAAGCAGGATTCATACTGGTCTGTGAGCAAAACCTTTGACCATTATGGCGTCTGAAACCACTAAAAGTAATTTTAATATTTAGAAGTTATTAATTTAAACTTTCTTACAGGAAGAGCAAGTCCTGAAATATTTGGGTCATTCGTGCTTCAAATAAAAATTCATGCACGATTTGGCCAAAGGTCTACTTGGTCATTTTCCTTACAATACACAGGATTATTAAAAGTCTTCAGCAGCACCAAAACTTAAAGACATCACTACTCATTTTGTTCGTCTCTTTCATTGTCCTGCTTTCACACCCATAGTCACAGGATATAACCTCTTCTGAACAATATCGCGCTTCGTTGTTATGGATATGTCAGTGCAAATGAAGATTTTCTCTAGACCAGCGGTGGCCAATCTTATCCGCAAAGGGCCGGTGTGTATGCAGGTTTTTGGGATAACCTGTTGGTCAGCTGTTCAAACCCAGGTGTGAGGACTCTTCAGCCAATCAGTTCTCTAATTAGTAATCTAATTAGGGAGTTGCAGCGAAAACCCGCACACACACCAGCCCTTTGCAGATAAGATTGGCCACCACTGATCTAGACTCTTCATCGTAGCCCCGAGCGCTGGAGTGTGACGTATCCTATTTCGTTTGTTGTCGATGATTGTTCTCAGAAGGCAAATGCTTTAATTTAATGTCTTTAATCGATATGTCTCCACCATCAACACTAAAGTTAGCTGGTGTTTGGTTATCATTATCAACAACTGTCTTCCGATCTGGCTTCTCTCATTATATACAATTGCATACAAATTGAATTCAAATACGGTAAAACTGGCAACTGACCCTTTATTTTTAATATCAGGATAGACTCAAATCTTCTCCAAAGAATTTAAACTTTATTTCCATTAAGGACCCAGCTGGAATAATAAACATTTAGGACCAGTAGACAACTGGTAAATTACAGTTACACTACCCGTTACTAACGATAGAGGGCAGACTCAGCACGCTTTAATTGTGTGCTGCTTTAATTTTTCAGCACATAAGTCTGCAAAGTATTTTTCCGTCCTTACAAATAGGTATATTGTGCATTCTGTGTACTTTATCTAAGAGTTCATAATAACATAAAAATAATTCTCATTAAGGGTCAACAGCACTGCTATTGTGAATGCCTTACCTCACGTATGAAAGGGACTGAATTATTATAACAGAATTGAAATGCTCAACTTTTATGTTTCATGTAGTACTGTCTCCATCTAATAATGAATGATGATATATGTTTGTTAAAGATAACATATCGGTGGATGTAATTTTTATTAGAAAAGTAAAACTGGACCCATTTTTAACCTTGTATATAACAGTTCATCCATCTTCCAAACAGTAATCCTGGACAGGGTCACAGAGGGGCAGGAGTCTATCGCAGTGCTCACGTGACTGCTACCCCATATATGGAATGCTAGCCCATCCCGGGGCACATGCGTGCATGAACAATATGGGCAATTTCATGACACCTAGTCATCCATCTACATGTCAACAGATTACAAAGGACGGGACATGACAGACACGGAGAGAACTCACAAACTCCATACACAGAGAGCAAAAGCAGGTACTTGAACCCCCAACCTTGGGGTCTGAGGCAATATTGCTAACCAGCCAGCCATCGTTTAAGTCAAGCTGCTTTCTTCCAAGTATGAAACAAGAAAGGATTCCTGTTTATAAGAATCAGTTGATTCGGGGAGATACACGGGATGCTGGATGGGCCCTTTAAGTGTGCTGATTTACGTGATACAGAAAATAAGCGCCGGGCTGAAAATAGCGCGGGACCGCAGCCAGTCGAACTCTAACACCTTTGTCGACACCTATAAAACCTGAGCCCCCAGGGCATTAAATGGACTTGCACCTGCACCGTGGATGCCGACATTTCACATTTAAATTCTGCAAACAAGAAGAAAGCTCGACAGAGGTGTGTTAGCACAGTGATATACTACGGTAATAGCTTACTGCCGTATTGGCAAGCATAGATAGATATAATCAAGTAAAATA